CGAAGACGACCAGAAGGTTCCAGTTGAGTTTGGAAGTCTTCAAAGTGTGTGTGACGCTACCGAGAGCGGCGTACACGAGAGAGAGCGGGACGGCAGCTAACATCGTCGAGACAGAGCGGGACGGCAGCTAACATCGTCGAGAGAGAGCGGGACGGCAGCTAACATCGTCGAGAGAGAGCAGGACGGCAGCTAACATCGTCGGGACGGAAAGACAAGCCAGACTGGTGACGGAGTGTTGCCAGAAAGTTTCGTATTGTATGCAAGGGGCTTCAAGGGTTAACATTGTTATCGATTGCTAAAAAAAAAAGCATCGTGATAGTGGACAGGGCTGTTATTATATTTATATTTTGTGGGGAAAAACTAGATTTAAACAATCATTTGACATTGTATTTCACTAAATTTCCTACAGGTTAAATTTGTATAATGGAGAGAAGCGAGATCTTGGCATTGCGAGTTGAAGAGTTGCGTCGGAAGTTGTCGGAGTTGCAATTGAGTACGACTGGATTAAAAGTGGAATTGCAACATAGATTATTGACACACTATGAAGGAAATGTCGATGGTGAGTCAGAGACGGAGGATGGTGGTGAAGACAATATATCGGTGACATCCGCGGCAACTGCTTTTAATCAGCAAAACAGAGCAGGGTGGCATCAAGGACTAGGAGTTGAGAGGCAGGGTAGATCGTGGTTCACTCTTAAAGATGTCGAGGGCAGTGTAACTCAGTTTTCCGGATCGAAGTCTCCAGATATCACTTCCGCTGAAAAATCACCTGAATTCCATTCCGGGGTGCCACAAAACAATTTTTCAGCGGAATCAAAATCTCGCACAATTTATCCAGCGATTTGATTAGGTTAGGTTAGGTTAGGTTGTTCCGGACGGCCCTCACGGGGCCACGCATGGGCCAATATGGCCCTTAGTTGTCCGGATTGGTGCGTATGGACCTTCTGAGTGTTTTTTACGCGGTTTCGAAATCCGTGAGGATCGAGGAGAATTTTGCAAAGGCAAGGAGTTCCGCTGGCGTCCTCTTGGATGCATCTTCCAGCGATGCCAGTACCGGGCTGCCAAGATGTTTGTTTCTTGCCCTTGAGAGGGCCGGGCATTGGCAGATTAGATGTTCCAGGGTTTCGATAGCCCCAGATTCATCACATTTCCTGCACTTGTTACTGTTGGTGATGCCTAGTTTGACTGCATGTGCTGCAGCCAGGCAATGACATGTAATCTATTATATATCTATTATCATCCTACAGTCCTTCCGTGGTAGGTGCAGTAGGTATTGGCTGAGTTTACCATTGCTCTCCTTGCACATGGTTTTCGCGATCTTGCAGTTGGTGGTTCTCCTCCACCTGCTGCTGGCCTGTATGTGTACCTCCCTCTCTAGATCGCTTTGAAGCGCTCTGAGGGAGACAGGCACGTTCTCAGTCCTGTCGTTTGCCAGCCCGACGCCTTCCTTAGCCAGCACGTCTGCTGTCTCGTTGCCCTCGATGCCCTGGTGGCTGGGAACCCAATAGATCCGCACTGACTTTGTCGTGCTTAGGAAATCTAATGCCTCCCTGCTTGCCAGGACATTTTTGGAGCTGACCGCTGACGACTGCATGGATCTTATCGCCGCCTGGCTGTCCACGAACAGGTTGACCACATTATGTGGGCGTTCCGTACATCAAGCAACCTCCGCCGCTTTCCGTATGGCAAAGACTTCTGCCTGGAATATGCTGCATTGGTCCGGTAGCTTATAGGACAGCCTTATTTCAGGGTCTGTACAGTATATGCCCGCACCTACGCCTCCCTCCATCTTGGAGCCATCCGTGTATATGTTTAGGTGTTCATTCTGATCCCAACTTTCTTTCCAGTCGTCGGGTTCGTGTATCGCTGTTTTGACGTCCAGGCAAGTTCGGGGGATCATGTAGTCAGATATACTGATCATGTCTCGGCCTATTGAACTGTGCCCGAATCCTTGCAGCGACATATTGCCTGATGCGACTAGGCGTTGTGCTGCCTTACCAGCAGTCAGTTTAGCGTGGATGTCCAGGGGGTCAATTCCGAGTATTGTTTCGAGTTCTTTTGTTGGGGTTGACCTCAGCGCCCCAGTGATGCAGAGCAGTGCCTGCCGCTGAGTTCTATCCATCAGCTTGTTGTAGGTTTTCTTTTCTGTAGCCTGCCACCACACTAAGACTCCGTACAGCAGAGTCGGTCGCACTACCGAGATATAGATCCAGTGCATTAGTGCAGGTGATAGGCCCCATGTGCTGCTAAGCATCTTCTTGGATGCATATAGCGCAATGGTGGCCTTCTTCACCCTTTCCAATACATTGGGTCTCCATGTCAGCTTGCTGTCCAGTACTATGCCGAGTTATTTGACTTGTGTTTTTGGGGAAAGCCTGGTTCCGTCAATTTTCGGGGGGATTCATGCCGGTACCTTGTACCTCTTGGTGAAGAGGATGAGGTCCATCTTGTCCGCGTTGATACTGAGTCCTACTTTTCCCGCCCACTCACATATCTCCCTGAGTGTTGATTCCATTATAGAGCTGAGGCTCGATAGGCATACTCCCGTAATAATTATGCTTATGTCGTCCGCATAAGCTGTTATTTTTGGGGCTCTCCTCTCGAATCTCATTATCAGGTCGTCGACCACCAGATTCCATAGGAGGGGCGACAGGACCCCATCCTGAGGTGTGCCTCTGTGTGCCCCTTTCACCATGGAAGCGGTGCCCCACTCTGAGTACACCCGTCTACAACTTAGAAGGTTCTTTATCCAGAGGTTGATTGCGGGATGTGTGTTGATCGCTTCTAGGCGGTCCATTATCGCGCTCGTATTCACTTTGTTGAATGCTCCGGATATGTCTAAGAACACTCCTAGAGCATACTTATTATTTTTGAGGGCATTTTAGATGGGGGCTACTAGCGAATGCAGTGTCGTCTCTACCGATTTCATTTTGGTATAGGCATGCTGGTTGGTTGACATCCGCCCACCTACATCGTTTCTGATGTGTAGATCCAACAGCTTTTCTAGTGTTTTGAGTAGAAAAGAGGTGAGGCTTATCGGTCTGTAGTCATTGGGGCTCATATGGCTGCACTTTCCTGTCTTTGGAAGGAAGACAATCCTCGAGGTCCTCCATTGAATAGGGATATAGCCCGTGCTCAGGCAAGCTGAGTATATTGCCGAGAGCCATGGGGTGATCACGTCTTTGGTCACCTGGCTGGAAATATACCGTCTCGTCCAGGTGCTTTTGTACCCACAAAGGAGTCTATAGCCCAGTGGATTCTCTTAGACGATATGAGATCTGTTGGAGGGTGCTGTTCCTCAGTTGCTAGGTCCTGATGCTCTGTAACGTCAGCGACCTCGGTGCATCCTGGGAAGTGGGCTTCCATTAGTGCTGTTAGGGCTTCTTCGCTGCCCTCAGTCCATTGTCCATCATTTCGTTTCAGCTGACTCTGTATGGTGGGTTGCTTTGATAGCAACTTCCGGAGTCTGGCCGTTTCTGGGACTTTCTCGATATTGGCGCAGAAGTTCCTCCACGAGTTTCTTTGTGCCTTGCGTATTTTCTTCTTTTAATCCCTGAGTAGGGTTTTGTATTCCTCATTGATTATCTCGTCGTTCGCCAGTTTGGTGATTTTGAAGAATTCTTTGAGGTTATTTCTTTGAAGCGATAAGTCCCGGTTCCACCACAGTGGTCTGGTTCTCTTTTTCGTTCTCGAGGGTGGGCATGCTGCGTGGTACGTATCCAGTAGCTCCTTGGAGAGGGTCTCTAGGGACGTTTCTTTTTCTTCCGGGGATATCACTGTGCCCGGACGAGTCGCGAGCTTCGAGGTAACTGTCTTTTTAAACATTTCCCAGTTTTTGTTCCGGGGGTTTCTATAGACAGTTATCTTCGGAGAGTGCTTAAATTCGCACTTAAACTGAATGTACTTGTGGTCTGAGAAGGACTCTCCAGCCAGATACCAAAGTACTGTTCCCCGTTACGAGTGTTAGATCTAGTACGTTAGACGAGGTGGGGCCTACGAAGGTGTGCATCCTCCCCCACGTTTGCTACATCTAGGTTAGTGGATAGTATAAAGTCTAGAAGTACTCACCTCTTTCGTTGATATCGGGGCTTCCCCACACGCTGTGGTGGGCATTGGCGTCCGTACCAACTATGAGTTGCTGGTCTTTCGGACTGGCTTCCGCCACCAGACTCCTTAGCTCCTCCGGTGGAGCTGGCCTGTCGTGTGCCATGTAGCAGGATGCTACCATAAGGCGCTTGTCCTTGCTTTCAAGCATCACCGCAGCCAGGTCTTCAGTGCAGTAATGAGACATAAGATAAGCATGGATGCCCTTTCGTACAAGTACGGCGGTTCTGGTCCTGCTTACCGATGGTGGGTAGAAAAGATTGTAGTTGGAGGACTTTAGCCCGGCCACAGCATTGCCGGAGGCAATCCATGGCTCCTGGACCAAAGCTATGTCGACGGGCCCTTGCTCCAAGGCAATGAGGAGCTCCGCCGACGCGACCTTGCTTTTATGCAAGTTGAGCTGCAGCACTCTCAATGTCATGGGAGGCTGGCTCAACTGCACACGGCGGGTTAACTATTATAGTCAGGTAACCGTCCTCGTCCTCTGCGGCATCAGAGTCGTCCAGCGCAAGATCCTGGGCGGCCTCCACGATGGACTCCAGACCTAGGTCCTTTTCCACCTTGCCTGCCTGCAGGGTATGCGCGTCCTTGTCTTCGGGGTGGCGCTTTTTGAGTCGAAGGTAGACACTGCCTACGCCCCATGCCATCTTCCCGAATCTCGGGTAGAGGATGTCCTCTGCCTCCTTGTTGATCTGGATGATCATGTGCTGGCCCCCCTCATTGGGTAACGGGCTACCAGCGTGGAAGATCTTCCAGTCAGCCGTTGGCACCTCTGTATTCTGCCTCTGGAGGAGTTTCAGTGCTCGGTCTCCCTGGACTGCAATGGGGAAGAGCACCTTCGCCTTTGGGATGGAAGGGATCATCTCCCTGTCCACTACCTCCAGCTTGGCCCCCTCTCACAGAGCTTCCAATTTGGGCACCACTTGCAACAGCCACTTCCTCGTCGGGTCATCATTACATTTGAGGATCTTTACCCCGTTCAGCCATCCCGCACCGTCGAAGGTGGGCATGGAAGCGTCCGGCGCGTCCTCCAATCGCGCGAAAAGGCAGTCGACCAGCTGGGCGTGTACCTGTTTCCACTGCGCCGCCGTCATCTTTCCATTTTCGTCGCTGCGGTCGATCAGGGCCACGATGAGGTGCCTCTTAGACACGTCGCTCACCTTGGCCTTCTTCGTCTTCGTGGATTGAGGGATAACCACCTTGGGCCCGCGTTGCCGCTTGCCCGCCGGAGTGTCCTTGGCACTCTCGATCGAGCGTTGCCTTTTGGTGGCCATCATCTCCTCAACCCTATTGGCGAATTCGCTCTTCGTCGCCTTCATCTGAGGCAGCTGCGCGTAGTGGAGATGCCCCTCTTCTACCTTTTGCTCAGCCCAGGATAGTTTGGACTTCTCCTCTTGGGAGATGTCCTCTTTGCCTTGTAGCCGGCTTTGGATTTTGAGGGCCGCCTTGTATTGGTGTGGGATGCGGTAGTGATAGGGTATTGCCAAGGAACACCAGAAGCGGGAACACCATTAATCCTCTGTCTCTACGCTAAAATATCGATAGGAGATGCGGACTCAGTTGCAACGTGAGAAAAAGAGTGGCAACGTACCGCCCTTTGCAGTCGCTGCCGCAATCTCGTAGAAGACACAACCCTTTTGCTAAAATCTAAGTCGAACGGAATAAACTATATATCTTTAAATAAACCGCTATAGTTCTTAAAATCAAACTAAGGACTCTGCAAATTTGGGGGCTCAACCAGGATTATAGCCTACCATTCGACCAAGATTGAGTTTAATTTTCGGAAAAGAACGTGAAATTCAAAGACAATTCGCAAAGAAAAGGCTGGAGAGGTCGGAAAGTCGTCATAAGCAAATTGGTGGGAGTGCGACAAAGACAACAGCAGTGTGACAGCGAGGCACCAAGAATTTCATCAGAGAGACGCGCAATTGCAAGCAACGAGGCAAGGTAAAGCGCACAGGCAGCGAGGAGCGGCGACTCATCCATACACAAGGTGCTGGTAAAGAGCGGAATAGTCAAAAGCAGCGGATCGTGCAGAGAGTCTGGAAGCAGGGCAGGAGATCAAAAGGAGATCGTCGACACGTGCTGGAGAACTTGGACAAGCAGCATCTCGTGGACACGTGGTGCAGGCAGGGGAGAATCAGAAGCAAGATATTGGATCTGGTTGCGTCATCGGAGCGTGTGTGCAAGAACGTGTAGGCTCAGGGCTGGTGCACGGATTTTTGCAACAGACGAAGACGACCAGAAGGTTCCAGTTGAGTTTGGAAGTCTTCAAAGTGTGTGTGACGCTACCGAGAGCGGCGTACACGAGAGAGAGCGGGACGGCAGCTAACATCGTCGAGACAGAGCGGGACGGCAGCTAACATCGTCGAGAGAGAGCGGGACGGCAGCTAACATCGTCGAGAGAGAGCAGGACGGCAGCTAACATCGTCGGGACGGAAAGACAAGCCAGACTGGTGACGGAGTGTTGCCAGAAAGTTTCGTATTGTATGCAAGGGGCTTCAAGGGTTAACATTGTTATCGATTGCTAAAAAAAAAAAGCATCGTGATAGTGGACAGGGCTGTTATTATATTTATATTTTGTGGGGAAAAACTAGATTTAAACAATCATTTGACATTGTATTTCACTAAATTTCCTACAGGTTAAATTTGTATAATGGAGAGAAGCGAGATCTTGGCATTGCGAGTTGAAGAGTTGCGTCGGAAGTTGTCGGAGTTGCAATTGAGTACGACTGGATTAAAAGTGGAATTGCAATATAGATTATTGACACACTATGAAGGAAATGTCGATGGTGAGTCAGAGACGGAGGATGGTGGTGAAGACAATATATCGGTGACATCCGCGGCAACTGCTTTTAATCAGCAAAACAGAGCAGGGTGGCATCAAGGACTAGGAGTTGAGAGGCAGGGTAGATCGTGGTTCACTCTTAAAGATGTCGAGGGCAGTGTAACTCAGTTTTCCGGATCGAAGTCTCCAGATATCGATCAATGGATAGGAGAGTTGGAAGATTGTGCTGCGACAGTTGAGTGGAACAAGCTACAGGTATTCGTGTATGCAAAACAGTTGCTGTGTGGAGCAGCGAAGATGTGTGTGCGAAGCCAGAGAAACATAAAAGATTGGGAAAGTTTGAAAACTGCTTTGTTGGAAGAGTTTGGAGTCAAGCTGTCCTCAGCAGAAGTTCATCGTAGGTTAGGAAAACGTCAGCAGCATAAGGGTGAATCTTTGCATGAATTCCTGTATGCTCAAATGGAAATAGCCAAGCCCATTCAGTTGGAAGAAGAAAGTTTGATCGAGTATTTCATAGAGGGTATTCCAGATACAAGGTCAAACAAAGTCATTTTGTACCAGGCTAGAAACTTCAAAGATCTAAAGTTTCAAATTGAGGCATATCAAAAATCTCGTGGTTCTTCTAAGCAGCCTATCAAGTATGGTGGACAGAGAAGTAAGGTTGGGAACGAGATTTCAAAGGAAGTGGTACCTGGATCAGTTAGAAAGGTGTGGAGACTCGTCACACATGAAGAGAGATTGTCCTGTGAGAGAGAAGTGCTTTAAATGTGATCAGCCAGGACACCGAGCAGCCCAGTGTAATGCTCAAGTACAAGTTAAGACAGGCAGAGAAACGAACGTAGTTCAGGACAAGAAAGTCGCTTCAAAACCGTCTTGTGCCCCATTTTCTTCGAGTCTTGAGCTGAAATCAGTGATTTGCATGAATACTGTGTTTAAGGGACTTGTGGATACAGGAGCTGAGCTGTGTTTGATGCGTAGGAGTGTGTTTTTGAAACTAGGCGTAGGCATTGGCAGTCTGATAGGACGCCAGAAAGTTTTGACAGGGATCGGTGAGAGTCAGGTGCTGACTTTTGGAAGTTTTGGAGCAAAGGTCAATATCGATGGGATTGACATGCTAGTCGAGTTTCATGTTATTCCTGATGGGGACATGAAGTTCGATGCAATTTTGGGCACAACGATCCTAGAAAACGTCGATATGATGGTTACCAAGAATGGCACTATATTTTCGCCAAGGGTTCGTTGTGTGGGAAAAAGAGCGGAATTAGGATCAGATAATGGTCAGCTTGGGCAGAGTTCTTGCGTGCAGTTGATGAGCGAGTTTGAGAGCCTTTGCATGTTAAGCATGGAAGACTATCAGGTAAAGTCTTTGTTAGAGTTGGATCATTTAAGTCAGAAGGTCGCATCAGAAGTGAAGTTTATGATCGAGAACTATAAGCCGAAGAGAAATCTCAGTTCGCCAGTAGAGATGAAGCTCTTGTTGACTGATGAGTTGCCTGTATTCCAACATCCGCGACGGTTAGCATATTGCGAGCAGAAAATTGTCGATAATCAAGTTCAAGAATGGCTAGAAGAAGGCATTATAAAGCCTAGTACATCCGAGTTTGCTTCGCCAGTGGTTCTTATAGACAAGAAGAACGGGAAAAAGCGTTTGTGTTGCGACTATCGCAAATTAAATGTGAAGATTGTCCGAGATAACTTCCCAACAGCTCATATGGATTGCGTGATGGAGAAACTGCAAGGCGGAGAGGTTTTCACGACCCTAGATTTGACAAATGGTTTCTTTCACGTCCCTGTTTCGCCAGAATCCCAAAAGTATACATCGTTCGTAACTCAGAATGGACAGTATGAGTTTCTGTTTGTACCTTTCGGTATCACGAACTCTTCGTCAGTGTTTACGAGGTTTATCATGGCAGTCATGCGTGATTTAATCAAGAATGAGGATGCGGTTGTATACATGGATGACGTGATCATTGCAAGTTAGAGTACCGAAGAGGGCGTGCTGAAATTGAAAAGAGTTTTAGAAGTAGCAGAGAGAAATGGCTTACGTATAAATTGGAGTAATTGAAGTATTGAAGAGGAAGGTAAATTTCTTAGGATATGTCGTTGAAAAGGGTACTATCAAACCAGGTGATGAGAAAACTAAAGCAGTTGCTAATTTTCCGATTCCACGCGACAAGAAGGGAATACAAAGATTTTTAGGATTGACGTCATACTTTCGTAGGTTTGTTGAAGGATACGCTGTAATTGCCAAGCCGCTGTCTGACTTATTGCGCAAAGAGGCGAAGTATGAATTTCAGGAGAAACATTTAGCAGCATTCGAGGAGTTAAAGGGAGCGTTGATTAGTGGACCAGTTCTGAAGCTTTATGATCATTCGCTCGAAACGGAGATTCATACGGATGCTACGAAATTCGGATTCGGGGCAGTGATGCTTCAGCGAGATTCAGGTGATAATTTGTGGCATCCAGTTTTCTACATGAGTCGTAAAACCAAGCCGTGCGAGGAGAAGTATCATTCTTATGAACTCGAGGTGCTTGCGGTTATTGGAGCTTTGGTAAAGTGGCGAGTGTATGTCCTAGAGAAAAAGTTCAAGATAGTTACGGACTGTAACGCTTTTACCATGACCATGAAGAAGAAGGAGATTCCGCTCCGAGTGGCGAGATGGGCAATGTATCTCCAAGATTTCGACTATGAGATAGAGCATAGGTCCGGTTCTAAAATGAGACACGTGGATGCCTTGAGCAGGGTGTCGTGTAATGTTTTAACTGATAGTTTGCTACATCGTTTAAGGGAGGCACAGCTGTTAGATGAATGGACGAAGGTGGTCAAAAGTGTTGTCGAGTCCAAAGGGTATGAAGATTTCTACATATTGAACCAAGTTCTGTTCAAAGATCCCAATAAGGAGTTGTTAGTTGTACCTTCGCTCATGGAAAATGAAATCATTGGGATCAATCACCAGCAAGGTCACTTTTCTTGTAAAAAGACTCAGGATTTGATCGAAAAGTCATATTATATTCCCAAGCTCAAGGAGAAAGTAGCGCGAGTAGTTGATAGTTGTGTAGAGTGCATTATGGTAAAAGCAAAGGCAGGTAGGCACGAAGGGTTCCTCACACCGATAGACAAGGGGGATAAGCCGCTGGTTACCTACCATGTTGATCATGTTGGCCCGATGGAGTTAACCAAAAAACGATATAATCACCTTTTCGTGATTGTAGATGGTTTTTCTAAGTATGTGTGGTTGTATCCTACTCGGAGCACAGGGGTCGAAGAAGTTATTAGTTGTTTGGAGCGTCAGGCTGTTTGCTTTGGAAACCCGTACAGGATCGTTTCAGATCGCGGAGCTGCGTTCACTTCGCATGTGTTTAAGGAGTATTGCGATAGGGAGAAGATTCAACATTTGCTAATTGCAACAGGCGTACCTAGGGGAAATGGACAAGTCGAGCGTATCCATAAAATAGTTGTCCCAATGCTATCTAAAGTAAGTCATGAAAGTCCAGGATGCTGGTATAAGCATGTAGGTAAGATACAACAGA